GGGTGTGGCTCTTTTACATGGGGATACAACAAGAAAACTGCCCAGGTTCTAATATAAAAAGTGTTTTTATTGCAATCTGTGTTATTGCTGGAGAAATCTTCCTGTATGGTTAGCGGAACAGGAAGTGAGGGGAAATCTCCCTACTGTAGACACAGACAGCAATGAAGACCTGACAGAGGCTCCAAAACCTCCCTACTCTATCCAAAACTAGAAGAAGAAAACAGTTCTGCTATGACATTATCATTATTATCATCATCATTATTATTAATATTATTATTATTTATAATAATTATATTAATAAATAATAAAATAATAATCAATAAAATTAATAATCAATACAATAAAAATGAACAAAGTCCTTTTGAAGCGCTGTATTGTTTTATATATACTTTGTTACCCAGTTGGTGACCTCTGATATACAGACACCTCATCCAGGGTAAGGAAAGCTTTGTACTATGATATAATTTGGGCCACTATACTTAGGGGGTTCATTTATAAATGGGCACTAACACCCCTAGATGGCGCTGACGGGTATAGGAATTTTCTATACACATTCACTATACTCATCTAGTGCCATATCAGCGGCATCCGTTATACATGGACCACTATAAGTGCATCTAACCCAGGGGTGGACACATGAATATGGGATTCAGGAGCCAGCCTGTCCAATCCAGAAGCCAGCAGGATCTTATTTTTAGGAGCCAGCTCCATTGACCACACCTTGAGGAAACCTCAAAAGTTAGGAGCCAACTGGGATTTTTAGGGAGCATTGGTGGGATTTGTCCAGCCACAAGCTAAACGCAAGAAGAAACTGAAATATATATTGCAGCTTACCAGTCCTTACATGTGGCGGCTGCATTTGTTTTCTCTTTTCAGACTTTTTACATAGTTACATAGTTAGTCAGGTTGGAAAAAGACACAAGTCCATGGAGTTCAACCTATAGAGATCCCCTGGGGATCCTTCCAGTAACATATTTCCTGTCCCAGAGTGACAAAGCTAAGTCACCGTACTGTATCTATAGAGGAATAACATTGCGACTCAAGAACAGAACTACAGAACGGCTTCCCATTTCCTTTTCTCTATAACAAAGGATAGGTGTTTTGTAGTCCACATAGGTAGCTGGGAACAATGCCAGCTTAGAAGAGTTAGCACAGGACGTTGTCAGCTGACAAGATTTCTGGCAGGATCAACCATTGTTTTGCACTTACAGAACAGATATAACAAAACACTTTCAATGGTGTATTTAAAAGAGAACTATGGGGTAAGTGTTTTTCCCCATAGTTCTCTTTAGGGTCATGGGAGGACATATACTAACCTCCTCCCGTGACCCAAAGCTCAGTATATAGCGAGCTACAGCTCGTGGTATACTGAGACCACCGCAGCCAGGACGGATCCCGACATTACTGCCGAGATCCACCCAGCTGCATGAGTGACAGCTGGCTCTGCCTATCTAGAGGCAGAGCCAGTTGTACTCGCCCCCTCCCCCGTCCATTCCACCAGTCAGCGCTGGAGGATCGGAGCAGGGAAGGGAGAATTCCTGCGGGGAGCTGTGACTGGGGAGATGATCGAGAAGTGAGCGAGCAACGGTATGTGTTCGCTCACTTACCGATCTATTAAGCCGACGTGTGACAGTTTCAATGTCACACGTCCGCTCAAACTATGAGGATGAGTGAAAATCACTCACCTCACAGTTCTCCTTTAACTGCGCCAATAGGAGACACTCATTGTCAGGGTTTACATACGCTTCCTGTCCCGCTTAGCACATGGACCAATGGAAGCCCCATGAGATGGTCATTTCCCGCACGTATCACAGATCACAGCCGAGTATGCCCAGTAAATTCTGACATCACCATTATAATAGAGTCACCTCCCTCTAATGGGGGTCAGCTACCATACAGCCCCAATACCTGATACCCAAAAACATTGTGTGTCTGTGCCCGCCTTCCACTGTACCACACTGATTTACATATGGCGGCATAGGGGAATCTCTTATCTCCTAATGAGAGCAGAGATTTGTTTTTCCAGTTCCAGACTCGTCCAAAGCTGGCCATACATTGAACAAAAGAAATCTAACAGATTCCTCCCTCCACGCTGAACAGCACGGCTGGACATATCTACCCCGCTGGGCTATTATAGCGAGCGCCCTCAGAGTGGCTGAAGCCCGGTTGGCCAACAGTTTCCCACCTGGCTCCTTTGACCTATGTATAGTCAAGGGAGCCTGCCAGCACCACCCAGCTCAACAATCGCTCAGTCAACTTTTATTAAGCCGTTTGGTGCTGGCAGGACATGGTCAAAATTCGAGTGGCAGAAATAGCCACACACGGGTCCTACTTTTTGGAATGCGTCAACATCTTCCTGACCGTTATTGAGCTGCTTTTACATATGTTACGTTACGTCATGCGACTTGTTTGCACAAAATTGGGCGTAGCAGGCAATCGGATTTGTGCTGTTGGCGATTTCTATCCATGAGAACGATGGACTCTGGCTGCCGACGTATTGCTATAGGTTACCGCACATGCCTGACATGAAGAAACTGTGTATGTTGCTAGCTCTGATTCCAGCTCCCCAGCTTCCTTTCTTCTCTGCCCTCTCGACGAATCTCTTCGCACTCTTCCCTTCTTCCTTCTCTCTTTTTTTTTATACTTCACAGTTTCTGCCTTTCTGCACAGCGTTGGGTTCCCCCTGAGACCCGCCAGATGTTTTGAGCTCCCCGGCACATCTCCCCCCCCCCCATCTCATGAAATATTCATAAACCTGCCTGCGTGATCTGCCAGCGGCTGCTGGGACCCAAAACCGGGGCACGTGCCTGGATGCACCGTACACCTGCCATAACTAAACCGGAATATTCTATAAACTGTGACATGGCAGCCGGGGGAGGGGGGGGAGGGTGCGGATTGGGACCCAGACCTAGGACTGTGGGGAGACATAGGTACTTGTGACGGAGGAGGGGGCTTTAAAGATGGCTGCACAGCTGCAGAATTTAACAGCTATTTAAAATGCAAAATGTTCACATTCCGCTTGAGAATGTTCTGCGGAGTTGATTAACTCATTGCTTGCCGCCCGGCGGTGGAGTTCTGAATCTTGCCTAACATTGGCTTCACTGCATCCTTCCATCTCCACCCTGTGACTTGAGGCTCTTCATTGCACACGCTCCCAACTTTTGTTTCAACCAGTGCACTAGTCATTGGAGGAGAATACTTACCTCTTGTCACCATGTGAGGTCGAAACGCGCCAGTAAGGGAAATGAGCAAGACTTCACATTTCCGCAACACAGTCTGTCTGTTTACTAGACGGGGAAATCCTGGCAATGCATGGATCCAAATTTGGCCGTTTCCTGCTGATTCATTTCCGAAATGGAAGGCCCTGATGGCACCACCTGGTACGACCAAAGTACATTTTTCAATTGACTTCTGTCGAAGGAGCCGGGTGGGAAATTTGCAGATGAACAGCGAATGCAGCCCATCAGATGCACTCGCTGTTCGGCTATTCTGGCAACCTGGTCTGGATGTCAGAATACAATAGCCAGCATGGGAGAGTCCTCCATCCATGCTGTACAGGATGGGGGGATCGAAAGATTTCTCTAGTTCAGCCAACAGGGTTAAACAACGAAAATCTTAATGCCTATGGCCAGCTGAAAGAAGAGCTCACGGCAAACCAAATACTTACCCTTGCAAGGGTAAGTATTGCAAGGGCTCCCCCTCCCCCCACTGCAAGGGTTAAGTGCTCGTTTTGGTCTAGGGCCCAAAATTTACAAAAAGATATACTCACCTGATCTTCCGTCCTGCTAGAACGGTCCCCAAAGACTCTTCTCCCTTGGGCTCCAGCGGTCTAAGGACTGCTGATGTCATCAGTGTCGTTGAACCTGATGGGCCTGTGTCTTTATTCAACCTCACTTGCTATGTAATATGTGTATGTCATGCAGGTCCATTGACTTGTATTAGACATGAGGAAGTGGAGGGGGAGCTGAGCGGTCACTGGCACAGGATGGAGGATCAGACGAATATATCTGCTTTATTTGACTCCCCTATACAAAACAATAACCTATCCCTTACAGTGCAGGGGTAGCCCCACTACAAGGAGGAGCTTTCTATGTGCCTGGAGTTCTTCCTTTAAGTGCAACTGAAGGCAATACTTTCTTTTTAGTTTTGGATGTAGGGGAGAGAGAATGGACCCCCTGTCAGGTTTTTATTGCTGTCTGTGTCCCTGTTAGGGAGATTCACTCTCTGTGGGGATCGCATACACCAAATTTCCTTGCGTTCTGGGGCGGGAGGGGGCGTGGCGGTGACATTCATGTCAATGGCACTCCAGACCCGCCCACACCACGATCGGCCTCACAGGACTGCGTGGTAATACAATGCCCTGCGTTCCAGTGTGGCACGATTGCAAAAAATAGTGGATGAATCTTGGAGCTTCCTGTAATAAAGACCGGTCACTGCCTCTCTCTCTGCTTGTGCAGGGTGACTGGTCTTGTCTTGCCCCCTCCTGTAATAAAGACCGGTCACTGCTGCTCTCCTTGTGCAGGGTGTCTGGTCTTGTCTCCGACCCCCTCCTATAATAAAGGTCGGTCACTGCTGCTCTCTTTCCTTGTGCAGGGTGACTGGTCTTGTCTTTGCCCCTTCCTGTAGTTTCTGTAGTCATAGCATGCCGTCCTTTGTTCTATTCGTGCTGCAGATCTGCTGTCTCTCTGCAGCCACTTCCTGCCTATGCACACTTTAGTGATGATCGTATGGCATTTCTCAGGGCCGCTGTCCAGTGGCAACAACGTTGGACAATGCCTGCACAATCTATGTAGTACTACACCCTCCTATCTGTTACAGGAAGGGGCCATCTTGTCCCTGAATGGATTGCAGATGCCATGGTGCTGCACATGTGATCAGCTAGGACACCAGCCATTGGAGGGTCTGAAAGTTTGGTTCAAATGAGCACACAACCTTGACTGTTGGCATGCCTTAAAAGTAACTGTTTGGGGACACATTAAATTGATACTGTTCCTCTTTAATTATCTTGTTTTCTATTTTGAAAAGCCAATATAAAGGAAAAGTAATTCAACAAATCTGCATTTTACCAATCATTTTGACATATAAATTCTTAAAGGCCGTCGTGGCAGGGGCGTGTCCATTGCCTGAATACCTTGCTGCAGAAGGAGTCCCTCTTTCTCACCAAGTTGGGAGGTATGTAGTTGCCATGATAAGCTTGTGTGACAGGGTGACAATGCAGGAGCACAATTGGGTAAGAGGGATAGAGCGTTGTCACCCGATAACATGAAGTGTCTGCACAGGGACCTTCACAGTGGCATTGCCAGATATTATATTAGTAAAAGCTGCAAATTTGACTTTTCATATTATGGTAAATTTAATGTTTATATGAGATTTAGGTCATTGGGAGGAATTTATCAAAACTGGAGCAGACAAAATCTGGAGCAGATTTGCACTGCAACCAATCACCTTCTCTGTCTCATTTTTATATCTTACCCGAGCAAACTGAGGAGAGAAGCTGATTGGTTGCTATGGGCAAATGCTCCAGATCTTCTGCTCCAGTTTTGATAAATTCCACCCATTGTGTTTACAGCTACTTTAAATCTTGAGTGATGTCATCTTAGACGCCATTCTCTGCATTGGACTCCATGGTCCCCTGGTGGGTACATGCCCAGCTGCTCTCTGACCTTTTTTAAACCTATTTCCCTGGGCACCACTTTCTCCAAAGTAATCAATAAGTGTTATATTTAGCCAGGGTCAATCAGAGGCCCATCAATACTCCACAATCTGGCTGAGCCACATTCTCTGTCTGGTCACTCACGACGGCACCCTTCATAGTAGCAGATGGGAGAAGCTGGGTTCTCCAGCCTCGTCCAGGCAAAACTAACCAAATTACCGAAGATCCACCATATAAGAATCAGGATGAAGCATTGTAACAAACAGACTGCACTAGAAAACAAGGCTTGCAATTTGATTGGCTGACATAGTTGCCCTTTGTGGTATGAACCAATCTCATAGCTGGATATTTTTTTTCTTTGTATATTTCAGCACCTCTTGGGGTGACTTGAGATCGAAGACATAGGAGACTCTTTTGCATCTCACAAGCACATCAATTTGGCATTTTTTAAAAGATGTGATCTGGATTTTTTAAATCAGACGTATGAAGTATTTCCCTTTACAAACTACTATACGGTCCAGAGCTTTTTTCATTTTAGTCTGAAACTTGTTCTTTTTGTTCAGTCATAGTCAGACTCTACCAGGGTGCCTTCTGGCTTCCTCAGGGGGCCTTTAAATTTTGTGATGGTGGGAGCCTGATGTGAAAGGGGAATTCTGATGTGAAGTGGGGACTCTGATGTAAAAGGTGTGTGTGTGTGTTTTCATTTAAAGAGGGCTCCTGATTTGAAGGGGGGACTTTGATGTGAACCGGGGAGACTCTGATGTGAAAGAGGGGTATTCTGAAGTGAAAGGGTGGACTCTGATATGAAAGGGGGCTTTCTGGTGTGAAAGGTGGGATTTTGAATTGAAGGGGGTTCCTGATTTGAAGGGGGGACTCTGATGTAAAAGGGGCGGATTGTAATGTAAAAGGGGATATTCTGATGTAAAGAGGGACTCCTGATTTGAATCACTTTGATGTGAACAAGGGAACCCCACTTTAATGAGAGATCTGTCTGTCTATAGTAACCTGCAGGTTGGGTCTTCCCAAGACATATTCTCAACAGCACATTGCCCTGTCTTCAACAGACATGGTCATCCACAGGGATGGCAAGTAGGATAAATGTGAGTGAGCCAGCCTGGTATTTACTGTCCTTATCTTGGTGACACTAAAGCCACAAATTCAACCTGTTCTGCTCTACCCAATGCTCTGTATAAGGACCTGTGTTGATGAGTTCAGAACTGCTTTTCCCTCCAGAAAAGGCATGAAAGCCAAGCCAGCTTGTAGCAGCTTGGAATGAAGTCAACAGTCAACTGCAGGACAAAATAACTTGTAAAGATACTCAGGTGGACCCCAGATGCATCTCAAACAAATGTCAAATGCAAGCCGGATGCACTTGAAAGCACACTGCAAATGCTAATCTACCCAAGTCCCTAAGTTGTTATCTGGATCTGGAGTAATCATTGGGGTAAGATGGCTATAGATAGGGGAATTTGTGTGCCAACAATCAGACCCTCGGGCAAACACCTGATATGGACCGAATGCTAGCTAGTTTCACCAATGCGAGGCAGTGCATCCAACAAAGAAAAGGGTGGATAACAGAGCAGGAGATCCTTCATGGGTGCTGGTAGGGCGAAATCTTTGGAGCCATCATGCAGACAGAAAGTGTCTACAATTCCTACCTCAAGGCTTTTCACAGAACATGGCAAGCAGTGATTCCAGCCATCTATAAGAACTTTCCATATAAGCAGCATGCACTATGTGACAGCTCTAAATCAAGGAAGTGATTTCATGGGTTCAGCATATACCACCTATATGTTCCCAATGGCAAATCCAAATCTAGTAGAATAAATAATTGGGCAATCCTGAGGCAAAAAGAGTAACATTGTTTTGGATAAGTGTGTAGATTCCAATTGCTATAGAAAAATGTTGCTATTTGGATCTGTGACTTTTCCATCCATCCCACCAATGCCACCCATTTCCCAGCAAACTCACCAGCCAGCATGCAAAAAAAATGTGTCTAACCACTAAGGTTAAAAACAGAGGTCTTGGATACAGGTCTTCTGCAGAATATGTGAAAGCCGCACTGCCTCGTCAAGGCACCTCTGTGTAGTGCGGTCCTATCTACACAGAGGTGCCTTGATATAGGACTACACTCCACAGAGGTGCCTTGACGAGGCAGTGCGGCTTTCACATATTCTGCAGAAGACGTGTATCTAAAACCTCTTAACCCTAGTGGTTAGACAGGTTTGTTTTTTTTGCATGCTGGCTGGTGAGTGTGCTGGGAAACTTTTTGCTTTTGTACTGTATGAAGCCCTTCCATGTGCACCTTGCTTGAAAGCTGGTTATGAGTTGATGAGTGCGTTTGCCATTTTTTTTTTTTGCTTGACCCATTCATGAGCCTACACCTAAACTCGCACAAAATTTTTAATATGCACTTGGTGTACAGCAGAAATTTTATTTCTAGCCTATGCGATTGGCTTCCGGCAATATTTTTTTTTACTGGGACTGGTTGTGGGATTTTTGCAGGAAGACTCTCCACTCAGGAACTAGGAAGTGAGTCAAAAGCATGTGTGCACTTTAATACAAATGGCAGCAGGTAAGACTCTGCAATGAGGTTTGCTAAAATCCTTGCATTCATATCCTCAAGACTCTAGAGGTTTCCAGACAAAACTAGCTAAAAAAAAGTAAAGAAAACATTCTAAATGTTATACAATGGTACAAAAGTGCCTTATGGACACCTTTTAGGACATGGCCCATCAAATCCCGTCTTTGCTACAGTGCTCAGAGCAGGATTATCCCATGGGAGACTGGAAAAATGTATCTAAAGGTTTAACATTTGGGTTCGTCGTGCTTAGCTGTAATATACAAATTAGGGCTGAGATTTGCTTTAGTATTTGACCTAATCTTTCATGAGAGGATTCAGCATTAAGATGAAACCTAAAATATGGATTTGATGTCTTCCTAGGTTATGCAGACAGATGTCAAATTCTGATGTGTAATCCAGTGTAGCTGCGGCCGGCAGTATTTATTCAACAGAACTAGGTGTCTCAATGAACATAGCGTGTTGCTTGATTTGGTCCCAGGGACCTGAGCTCCTGTTCTGTTGTGTAGCCTCTTCTCCTTCCTCAGCAGGTCACAACTGATCAGTTCTGAATGAGGAAAATAAAAACAGATAGAAGTCTATCTTAAAGGAGAACTATGGGGTTAAGGCTTTTCCCCATAGTTCTGCTTAGGATAGAACACAAACTAGCGTCCTCCCGTCACCCTAAGCTCAGTATACCGCAAGCTACAGCTCGCGCTATACTGAGACGCCGCAGTATAGCGCGAGCTACTGCTCGCGATATACTGAGACGCCGCAGCTGAAGCAGATCCCGACAATTATGTCGGGATCCGCCCAGCTGCGTGAGTGACAGCTGGCTCTGCCTATCTAGAGGCAGAGCCAGCGGTACCCGCCCTCTCCCCCGTCCATTCCGCCAGTCAGCGCTGGCGGATCGGTGCGGGAAGGGGGGAATCCAGCTCCTCCCCTGTCACGGCAGAGAGCTGTGACAGGATCGAGAGGTGAGCAAACGCCGGTATGTGTTCGCTCACCTCCCGATCTACTGAGCCGACCTGTGACAGTTTCATTGTCACAGCTCGGCTAGAACTATGAGGTGAGTGAAAAGCACTCCTCATAGTTCTCCTTTCAGGTGCCCATACACCTTGCGATCATCAGACAACATTTTTCGTCCGATGATCGAACCGTCGTACGATTTTCGTACGGCGGCCCCATCCTGTCCCGATTATCACAAGGTTGGATCAGCGGTATTTAGAAGAAAGCACCTGGGCGAATTGTGGTAATCGACCGCACGTATTTTCGTCTGCGCATCTGCAGTGTAAATTGTACGAATTTTGACGTACAGAAACGCCACCAACCTTGCGAAAATCGTATGATCGACCGAAGTTTTATAAACTGCTGGTTAGTCAAAAGTCGATCGATTGTACAGTATTTGTGGTTGTACACTCCCCATCAACCTTGCGATTATCGTACGAAAACGCGATCGCATACGAAAATCGGACGATAATTGTAAGGTGCATGGGCAGCCTTATTTTGCTCTGCTACAGATAAACTAAGCTATCAGAGGGCATAAGTGAAACCCTGCCGCGCAATGAAGGTGAGGGCCAGCACGCCCCGGCTGAGGTGGGACCCTCAGTTATGATGTAAGGTGTACGAGCATGCAAAAAAATGGACCCTAATGGCAAGTATAGGAAGTACAGGTGTTACCTGCCCTATAGTATTCTGCTACTGCTTTTATTTTGAAGTTCTGATTATGTGATATAACTTTTCTGTTGGATAGAATGGAGAGTGGATGGCTTTTATGAAAAGTAGTAGCCAATATAGCAATAGATAGGCCTGTACTTAATGGCACACATGGACCATTGCTTAGGGCACCACAGTCGGCGGGGGAAACTCCCTTTTCCCTTGTTTTGTGTCCCTCTGCTGTCTACCTCTGGATATTTGTGGCTAAAGTTGGCAAAAGAACAGTAGGGAAGATGGGGTGCAGGGGATGTTGTCAGGAGGCAGAAGGTTTATTATATTTTTGGAAATTTTAAAACATTTGACCTTTCTCTTGTTTGGTGGACTGTGTGACTGAAAATGAGATCGTCATATAAAGCAAACCGAATGCTGCCTCCAGTTTTGCATTCTACCATTAAATATGACTCTGGTAATGAGTGGTAGGCTGATATTGTTGCATGCAGTTGGTCAGGAACCCAATAAACAAGCTTTTATAACTACATAGGATGCTCAACTTTTTATTATAGTCTAAAACACTCTATTCTTTCATAGAAGTATCTAACTTTATGTTATTGTGTTACATACAGAGCTATCCAACCACCCACTTCAATGTCATAATATTATTATTATACAGGATTTATATAGCGCCAACAATTTGCTCAGCTCTTTACAAAATAGTGGAGACAGTACAGTTACAATAGAATTTACAGTACAATACAGTTTCAGAACAATAGGGTTGGGTGTGCCCTGCTCGTGAGAGCTTACAATCTAGTATTTGAAGGCACCAGTTGTAGCATTTCAGCTTATATTATTACTTCTTCTATCACATCTTGAGGTAAAATGTAGCTTTGTGTCCTGTGTTCCAAAGAGAAAATGGACTTGTTTCCTGAATAACCCGGGCTATAGTAGCCGTGTGTCCTGTGTATTGTGAAGGTGGCAAACTCTCCTGTTTACATAGGGCAACGTAGTCATGTGTCTTTCTTGTGTTTCCTGGCAACGGTGGCCATGTGTTCTCTGTAATGTGAAGGTGGCAAACTCTTCTGTGTACATAGAACAAGGTGGCCACATTGACTGTGTACCTAGGAGAAAAGAGCCATGTGTATTGAGCAGAAGGTGGCCATGTGTCTTGTGTACCTAGGAGAAAAGAGCCATATGTTCTATGTACCCAGGTGTAAGTGGCCACGTGTCCTGCATACTCAAGAAAAGGTGGCCATGTGTTCTGTGTACACCGGGCATATGTACCGAGGAGAAAGTGACAATGTGCCCTGTGTACCCAATAAAGGGTGTCTGTATGTCTTTTGTACCCAGGAAAGCTTGTCCATATGCCCTGTGTACCAAAAAGAAGGGGGCCAGTTGTCCTGTGTGCCCATGAAGGGTCTCAAAGTGTCTACCCAAAACAAGGTAGCCATGTGTTCATTGTACCCAGGAGGAGGTGTTTGTGTGTCCTGTGTATCCAGTAGAAGGTGGTCATGTGTCTTGTGCACCTAGGAAAGAGAGTCCATGTGTCCAGTGTACCTAGAAGGTGGTGACCATGTGTCCTGTGTACCCAGGAAAGGATGTCCATGTGTCATGTGTACCCAGATGGTATCCATGTTTCCTGTGTACCCAGAAGGTGTTGGCCATGTGTCCTGTGTACCCAGGAAAATGACAGTGTGTTCTGTGTATTAAGGAGAATGTGAAAATGTGTTGTGTATTCAGGGGACGTTTATTGCATATTCTCCATATCATTATGTGACAAACATTTCATCGATGATATATTACAACATATGTTTTTTTTAGTACAGGCCATGTGTGGCATGATAAAATTATTGGCACGAGTATCACTGTAACAGTATATATTGCTGTGATCATATAGTATTTATCACTGTAGGTCCAGTGGTTATGCTAATCTTTAGGGTAGGTGACTTTCTGTTTTTTTGGATGTAGTAAATATATGTTTTGGCCTGACACATATGCCAAATAACACATGCAGCATAAGTATCACGTCTAAATTCATATCTATGCTGACAATGTACTTGTATTTGTTGGTGCTGAAATTTTGTGTGCCACAAATTGAAGTATCAACATTTTTATTCTCACAACAAAGGCTCCGATTTTCAGGAGTGAAAAATTTAAAGCAGACCTTTGGCCTCCCCACCTGCTTTCTCTCAATCCACTCTAACCCCCCTCCTCTCTAACAAGCGGATATTTTTATTTAATTTTCTTTCACATATCTTTTACGTTGAACCTTTCCCACACTTCTTGTATTCTTGCCTTGGTGAATGCCTTATTTGTTGCCCACAGCTTCCAGGGGTACCTACATCATGCATCCCAGGAGGCCTTGGGGTACTCTACTTTTTTGAAGTTCCTCTTTAAAGTGTATCTAGAACCAAAACTTTTTATTATTTATATTTTAGATAGAGTGGCGAAGGGTCAAAACCTCTGTCAGGCTTTTTTGCTGTCTTTGTCTCACTGGCGAGGCTCTCCGTCTTTATTTGTCCTAGTGACCATTTCACCAAGACTGAAAATGAAGGAAAATCCATAATTGTGAGTAGTAGATGGAAAAACTTCCAATGGGGACACTTATTCTGATCTAAGAAGGAGCTTTGCCATTTCCTATTATTTACTCTTGTGTCTGCTGGACAGGAAGTAAAGGTTATTCTCCCCAATGGGACACAGACAGCAAAAGAAAAAGCAGACAGGATTTTAACCATGTGCTACTTCAGCCAAACTTTTTTTTTTTTATTAGTTTTAAATATACATTAAAGTAGCACAGCAGAAAGTTCACTCTGTGCCAAGTATTTGCAGACAGGAGTTCATGTTCAAGCCTTTCACACTTAGGAGCCGGATAAAGAGTATTACTATAGCCTGTCAGCATCCTCACTGTTTTGTTTGGGATTTTGCTCCGTAAGCATCTGTCTCTGCTGTCTATTCATTGTACTATTTATTAGGGGCTGTTAAGCTGTTTAACGTCTCTTCATCCCTATTGATTACTTTGTAACTGTACAGTCTCTGACGGATCTCACCCAGCAGCTCATACATCATATACTGACAGAAAGTACCTGTTCAGCAGGAGCTCCCAGGGGCCTCCACTGGAAGAGCTTGGATCTGGGAGCCTGCTGGGATCGGGGAGGTGTAAAAGAGAAGCTGCACTTACTGACAGAGTTCTTCTTCATATTGTAGGCTTTTCTATTCATGTTAGGGCACATCTGTTCCTATATTTATTGCCCTAAATTGAATATGGGACTAATCTATAAACCCCCTCACAGATAGGCATGTGTGTTTCTTGTAGAAAACAATCTTGTGTTGTCAATTGCTAACCTTTATTATGGAATGTCATTCACATTTTAATTGGTTGAGAAGCTATTTTGCTACACATGACTAAGGTAGCTCAGAGGTCCCCTTTACTTAAACCCAATACCAACCTCAACCCAATAATACACTACACGAAAGGTGGATTTTAAATGGCCGCAGCAGCCTTTTATTTCAAAACCTTATAAATAACATTTATAAATAACCATAACCAACTGTATACAATAGGGATGTCCCGATACCGATGCTAGCATCGGAATCGGGCCCGATACACGGCATTTTGACAAGTACTTGTACTTGTCAAAATGCCCCGATGCCTACGCCAAAGCTTGCGCTGTTTTTTTTTTCTCTTTACCTTCCGTGGTGGCTGGGGTCCTCTGGGCAGACTGGAGGAGCGTCGCGTCACTGCTGTGGGCGGAGCTCCAAGTGGGGTCTAATGTAGTTGGCTGGCGACTGCCCAGAGGACTCCGCCTGTAGCTCCACCCACAGCAGTGACGTGACGCTCCTCCACTCAGCCCCTCAGCGCCGCCAACGGGTCTAATGTAGTTGGCTGGCGACTGCCCAGAGGACTCCGCCTGTAGCTCCGCCCACATCAGTGATGCGACGCTCAGCCTCTCAGCGCCGCCGACGTCATCCTTGCATGAGGAGAAAAAATAATTCGGCACCCCATGAGGCTCCATTGAACAGGCACCAGTAAGTAAGGGCCTGTGCTGCTGAGATGGCAAGTGGTGTAGTTTTTGCCACTTTGCCAGTATTGTATTTATAATCTGATTGCAAGTGTACATTTACTTCTTCATATAGAGTATTAGGTTAAATCATGATCTATAGTATACTACATACATAACATGTAGTTGTACTATGGATCATGATTTAACCTAATCATGTTAGCAGGGGAATAGGGGATAATTGAAAAACTCTATTGCTGTAGTGTACTCTATATGTAGTACATGTACAGTACTAGCAGAGTATAATTGTAAATGTATTGTCTGCACTGTATTAGCAGTATATACTCTATATGTACTACATATAGAGTACATATAGAGTACACACTGCTAATACAGTGCAGACAATACATTTACAATTATACTCTGCTAGCATGAATGGATTAAATGATCTGTATGTAGCCCTGTACTAGGGATCATTTAATCCATTCATGCCATAGCTCCAGGCCTATCTATATGGAAACATTACCATCAAACCTATTATCTTGTTGGACATCCCATTCCAAAACCATGGCCATTAATATGGAGTCCCCATCCCCGTTTTCCCTAGCCTCCACTCTTCTGGGAAGGATTTCCACAGGACTTTGGAGTGTATTTGGGAATTTGTGTAGCCAAAAGAGCATTTGTGAGCTCAGGTACTACTGACTGACTCTAGATGAAATGACATGGCTCATATTGGGCATTCCAATCCATTCCAGTAGGTATGAGCATACCAAACTCATCCCAAAGGGGTTCAGTAGTGTTGAGGTCAGGGCTTTGTGTAGGACACTTGAGTTCCTACATAACAAACTCATCAAACCATGTCTTGATGGACCAGGCTTTTTGCACAGTAGCACAGTCATGCTGGAACAAAAACGGGGTCTTCATCCAAAAGAACACCGTGGTCTAGAATGTCTTTGTATAATGTACTAATAACCTTTCCTTCACTGTAAACATTATAACGCAATACATTAAAAGTGTGTCTACATGCTTTGGGCCACATTGGTAGGTGTCACGGTCACATAGTGTATAAAGAATAGGCTGCCACTCCCAATCAGGGCTGGATTCCCCACAAGACCACCGAGACCCGGCCGGGCAGGGAGCAGAGGGGCGGCAGCGGTTTGACATCTCCCGACGCCCGTGACATGCAGTTCCGGCCGCTGGGCGATAATTTGTTTTCTAGATTTAGCCCTGCTTTGGGCAAGCAGAGCTAAATGTAGAACGGGGAAACCACTTGTTTGTTTACAAGTGATCTTGGCGATGTCGCCAAGATCACTTGTAATAAGATTGCAGCCTGTCCGTCCGCCCCCCGCACCTACCTCTCTCCATTTAAGATGGAGAGCGGGGAGCAGAGCGGCAGGGTTAAAAGTAACCCTGCCGCTCTGTGTAAACAGTGAGAGGAGAAAGCAGTCTTCCCCTCTCCCCTTTCACAGGAGTTCCAGCACAGTGCTGTGCTAGAACTCCTGTATCGGAGGTGACAGGTTCAATAAAGAAAACCTGTCACCTCCAAATGCTATCACACAGGGGCTTGCTAGCTCCTGTGTGATACCAATAAAGATAAGTTAAAAAAAATGATACAAAAAATAATTACATAAATAGAAATTTAAAAAAATAAGTTAAAAATAATAAGTAATGATAATTAAATTAAAAAAATAAAGTAAAAAATAAATAAGAAATAAATAATTATAACAAAATAATCAAAAATAAGATAAAAACATATAAAAAAGTAAAAGATGATAAGATAAATAAAAATTGAAAAAAGTAAAACAATAAATAAAAAGTTAAAAAAATAAACAATCAAAAAATTCAAACTAACCCTGCCACCCCTGGTTGGTGGGAAGGGGGGCACATTGAGGAACCTGGCCTTGGGTCAGCAGGGAGAGTAAATCCGATCCCGCTCCCAATCCCATTTTTTTAGGCGATAATGTTGCCAACCTATCCTCCCCAGGTGGACCCATACAATAGCATCTAGCTTGCTATATCCAGCTTCAAAGTCCAGTTGAAGTGACAGCAATAGGTATGCTATGCAGTAAAATAGATATTGTACCAACAACCTCAGTCGTCTTACCTATGCTATCCTTTTATGGCAGATGAACAGTGTTTTTAAATTATAACTGTGCATTCCAAAGGGCACTAGAGTTTGACCATGTTGCCCAATGCTTTCTATAATCTAACAGACTTGGTCAGACATGCCCCTTCTCTACCTCCATGTTACACGTCTGCATGATACTCATCTGTACCATCATAGAGCACTGGATTGTAAGTGAAGAAAGCACATTTCCACCAAGAGGGAAAAGGGTATCCCCATCCAAATCAGCTATAAATATGAACATGGGGGGCGTATAGGACCATAGATAGAAAAGAAAGACATATGACTTCTGTTGTGCTTTAATATGGCCATGGAAGGTAAATTATGTTTATTGGGCCCTCCTTACCATCTTGTCTTGATTTGTATTGTGATTGTAATGTCTTCCTTATATTGTAAAGCGCTGCTATATAAATCCTGTATAATAATAATAATAATAATAATTGTTGTCAGCTGTCACTAATTATCAAGGATGCATTATTTTTATATAAAACATCACCTCTACACAAAACTAAGATTTTGGTTTTATGTTAACGCTGATAAGCTAAACCTTCAATGGGCTTCCTATATCACCAAGGGACTGCAGGTCAAGATGCATTCAAATAGAACGCACGCTTTTTACCCAATTTGTCATCATGCCGAATTAGCATATATTTTGGGAATACATTTGAAAGAGAGTATATCTTAGCCTTCATCTTGTAAGAGATGGATATCACTGCAGTATCAGTTTTGGATAGAGACAGGCATGCAATCATTGTGCCCCCCTCCCCATTTTCCTCAGCCTGCAGGCCCCAAACAATTAGAAGCATAAGCTGCGGCATCTGTGCAGGATTCATATACGTGCTATTGATATTTAATATTAGTTAGGGAGTTCTGACAGGATAGGAACATGGGATCTGCTGATGTGGACCTGGTGTTAAAGGTACATGTATTGGTCTGTCACCATTAACCTTGCTTCGTGAGTCATTGTTCGAGAGCAAGTATGCAAGTGCCCAACGCTGCATACTTATGTCAGATCAGCTAGGACAAGAATGACCATCTTCAAAAACAAGTGGTCAATGGCATTTACCATATTTCTGTCGCTGTAGAGTAAAAAGGATAGAGGAGAATGCTTGAAGGCTCCATAACTGATACTTTCACACTCGACCTTCAACCTCACATTGTAAAGAGTGTCCTGCCTCTAAATAGTCTTCTCAATCTTTGGCGCTAGACAGGACACCATCAGAATGTCCAGGAGGCTGGCAAGGACATCTCCTCCCACCTAGACAAGACGAAGGATCTGACGGAGAATTGAGCCCTAGTTCCACTGCACTTAAAACTGAGAAACCTATTGGCTTTTGACCTTTAGGATGACTTCTTATATTCTTAAATACCATATACACATATACAGTATATTGTTTGAATGGAACCACCATATTGCTCATACCTATCAATGTTTTCTCCTAGACTTCCAGCGCATCTAAAAATAATCCTGTTTACACCAAGTCACCTGTGCATTGTCTCTTCATTGCTCATTTGAATACATAATCAGCTTCAGCATTCTGCCTGGCTAATTTCGAGGTGGGGAAGAAAAAGCAAAAGGGGGGTGGAATTTGCATATTCATTTTCTAGAAAGAAAGAAAATGTTTGCAGCATTCTTTAGTGGAGATCCAATGGGTTTTAACACGTCCTTTCCCAAAACACAATTCCGTCTTTAACCCCCGGCGTGCCGCGGGCTCCCAGCACGCCTTGGCAAAGTGACAGCTTGGCGGCGTCTCTTGCGACAGAGGGGTTAAAGGTATCACTTGAGAATTTAATCACACAAATTACGGAGCATCTGCTAACCTCTTTTATGCAAGCGTGTGCCTGCAGAGCGTTGCAGCGGCATCGCTCCGCTGGGAAGTCTGCATTGTGCAGCACATCACGTCCCGAAAGCACAGATCCGCAGAGCCTTGTTTAACCTGCTTTCAGGCACTGATGTACGCGGCGTGCGGGAGAGTCTCAGCGGGATTCCTGAGCACTGGCTGGATGTAAAATAGAAGGATGTAGACAGTGAGTGACTGACACACATCTAAACATCTTCACCAGCAAAACCAGTACCGTCGGTCCTTTTGCACTTTTTGGTGCCGTAAGGGCAATGCGTTTTCATGTCTTTTTGTTCTGAACATGTTACGTGCCTTTTATTGCATGTTTCTCCTGATTCTATTAGCATTTAAATAAAGAGTTTGCTATTTTTGTTTTTCAGGTGTGTAAACAGCGTGTAAAGATGCATGATATGGGCATTGTGCACATTACCCTTCATTCACATGAACCTGAAAATGTACGCTAATACTGGAAAATGCAGCAGGAACCCAGGAAAATACTGCGTTGGACTATTAATTTTTTTTCCTGTGTCCCGTGGTGAACCGCTAGAGAAGCTGAAAATTGTTCTTTTTGTGGAAAGGACAACTAATTCAGTAAGAGATAAGCAAACAGAAGTAACCAATAGCAACCGCCAAAATTACTCTTTTAGTCTCACTTCACAGTACAGAACTCCAAGCAAACAGTGAAACACACATCTAAAATACTCATATGAGGACTATTTTACCTGTCAAAGGATTTGTTCTTCTGTTCAACCACATATACTGTATAGCCAAACGTTTGGGGACACTTGACCAACACACCTAACTATACAACCAAAAGTATGTAGACACCCCTCCAAATGATTGCATTCAGGTTTTTCCAATGAAGAGTACTGTTAAGGCTACAGCATACAAAGACATTTCAGACAATTGTGATCTTCCAGCCTTGTGTTAGTGTTTGGTGAAGGCACTTTTCTGTTCCAGCATGACTGTGCCCTTTGTGCACAAGGGCAAGTCCATAAAAACATTGCTTGAGAAGATTAGTGTGGAAGAACTTAACTGGCCTGCACAGAGCCCTGACCTCAACCATACTGAACATCTGGGATGAATTGGAAGGTCCATTGGGAGCCAGCTCTTCTCCTCCAACATCAATACCTGACCTTTTAATGAATGGGTTCAAAGTCCCACAGACATACCCCAAAGACTTGTGTAAAGCCTTCCTAGGGGGGGGGGGGCAACATTATATAAATGCCCATGGGTTTAGAATGGGAAGTCTAGTAATCTCATACAGGAGTGATGGTCAGGTGTCCAGAAACTCTTGGCCATACAGTGTGAATATACAAGGCTGTGTGAACGTCTGAGCAGTTGTAGGAAGTTCCAGTCACAGATGAAGATGGTGACTAGTTTGGTGCCTAGGCTAACGAGCTAACAATTATCATGGAACTATTTGTTCTTTTATCGTAGACTTTTCATCATTGGAAGCTCTGCTCTTTAATGTCAATGACCACAGTATGTAAGTAGAGACAATAGGCATGTAGCATGTGGAAAGGGAGTTGTAATTCACATATCATTAGGAGAGCAGAAGAGGTTAATGTCATGGATTTGCTGTTCTTTTCAGGTACATATTGGTTTTTCCAATGGTCACTGTGCCAGGGTCAGGGCTGTAGCTACTCATCATGTTACCCAGGGCAAACATGCACGATAGGTCCCTAGTCGTGAACCATGATCACAAACAAGAAGTGGACTGCTATGCCATAGACTGTACAGTTCCCCATACAAGAACCTTCAGAGCAAGAGGTTATGGTTGTACATTACTTTAGCTATAGGGACTTTTGGGACCTCTTAACAAATACAACCCCCAATTCTCCCAGTGTGCAAAGGTTGTAAGAGAGGGTAATATGAAAACAAAAATTGTAAATGTAATCTGGTGTTGTCCCGACTTATTCTGATTTCCTCTCCATAAGTTATGGAGAATACGACCCTGAATAGGCATTCAGTGTACATATGATGGTTCTCCTCAACTTGTCAATTCTCTATGCTACCACCGAATGCCTATGGGTTGTCAATGTCATCTGAAAGGGCTTGGAAGAGTGATGTTGAGGAAGAACCAGTTTTCAGTGGCTACCATTGAACTCTGATCCTTGCAGATGAGATCACATGACCAATGTCTAGTCATTTGTTCACATGATCGTCTTCTGTGGATGTCTGGAGGGG